CTAATTTCCACACTCCGAATTTTCTGCATAATATTTACACCACACATTGCCCTTAGACAGGACATCTCCACTGCCTTCAACCGTCTCCTCGCTGCTGCATTTACCACCCAAGCTTCACATCCATATAAGAGTGTTGGTACTACTATACTTTCATACATTCCCTTCTTTGCCTCCATAGATAACGTTTTTTGACTCCACATATACCTCAACGCACCACTCACCTTTTTTCCCTCATCAATTCTATGATTAACCTCATCCTTCATAAATCCATCCACCGACACGTCAACTAATATTAATAATATTATTATTAAGCTATAATATAATAATCGTGTCCACTCATTACTTACCTTAAAATATCTGTAGTTTTAATGTAGTGAGAGGTGAGTAAACAAGATTAAATGAATAAATGAGAGAGAGAATGAGAATGTAGAATGTTCACGAGTTATGTAAACAAACGTTGTTGTTGTTGTTACCAGCCCGGACACGAACGATTCCTGTTCACTGTCAAGCCGACCAGAAAAACATCTCATATTTGTTAATTTATATGTTATGTAGCATGTTTATTATATAACTTTGAAAAAAAAATCATAGATGGATTAAGCAAAATGTCTATATTAACGTTTTATACACATTTAATGCGCCTCAGTGATTATTCTTGTTATTATCATTATTAATATGGCATCTTCAAGACCAAGTACACTCTTAATGAGTGGCTCTGAGACAGACAAGCAGACAAAGACAGACACCTAGGTAGACAGAAAGTCACACAGGTAGACAGAAAGACACACACACAGGTAGACAAAGACAGACACACAGGTAGACACAGACACACACACAGATAGACAAAGACAGACACAGGTAGACAGAAAGACACACAGGTAGACAGAAAGACACACACACAGGTAGACAAAGACACACAGGTAGACAGAAAGACACACAGGTAGACAGAAAGACACACAGGTAGACAAAGACAGACACACTAGTAGACAGACACACACAGATACAGACAGATATACAGGCAGACAGATACAGACAGGTTTATGTGCAACAGTGAAAACAAATAGAGAGCTGGAGAGTAAGAGCCTTTCTTGCCACAATCTCCAGTGCAAGATTCAGACTTCATCTTAGGGGCCATGGTGAAATTTACTGTCCAGTTAGTACAGTTAATACAGTATGATGCTGCTGACAGGGCAGGGTTACTCAAACTGATGCTGCCTGCATGACGCATTTGCCGCCGCGAGTATTGTCAAATATTGTACAGTGGTATGCATCAGCCGGCCCAGCCCAGCTGCCAGATGCACAGTCGTAAGTCGAGTGGACGTATGTCGAGCAGGTCGTAAGTCGGATGGTAGGTGTATTATAATATTGCATAACAGTAAATCTTCCATTTTTTGGTGTAAATAAAAATTCTTTGTGAATAAAAATCAAAATGGAATTCATTTATAAAGCCTGAAAACATAACTGATGAACAGAGGAAATGTTAGTTTAGTGCCAGGAATGCCTGCACTGTTTATTCTGGACCCTATTTTGAAATTGGAATATTTTGAACTTTGTGTTAAATTGGCCAAATTCCCAATTTCCGGTCGCTTTACTGGGTAGTTGAAACAGTTGACTTGGTGATTTCTTGTGCTCAATCGATAAAATAGAAGTAATACTAGCGAAATGCTAAGAATTTGGTCGACTGGAATAGTGCAATTGGCCTAAAATGGGAGTCAAAGTCGGCAAAATCGCCCATGCATAAATATCGCTAATGCATCATAATTCGCGAGAGCGTAACTGTCAATTTTCCATCAAATTTCATACTTTTTGTTTTATTACCTTCAGAAAAAGATTCTCTAACATTTCATAAGAAAAATAACAATTTTTTTTTTTAAATTCTTGGACCCTGGCTGTCACTCAAGAGATTTGGTCTCTGGACCCTCAAAGGGTCCAGAAGCCAGTACATGAAATCACAGGGAACCTGTGATTTCATATACTGGGCAAGGAAATATAACATCTTGTAGGAGTGAGGAAGAGCCAGCTGTTAGTGTAGGGAAAGTGCATGAAGTAGTGAGAAGAATGAAAGGGGGTAAATCAGCTGGGAATAATGGGATAAAGACAGAAATGTTAAAAGCAGGTGGGGATATAGTTTTAGAGTGGTTAGTGCTTTTAACTAATAACTGAATAGAAGAGGGTCAGGTACCTAGGGACTGGCTGAGAGCATGCATAGGGGACTGAAGAGTAAAAATTATAGGAAAATAAGCCTGCTGAGTATACCTTGTAAAGTGTATGGTTGAGTTATTATTGATAAAATTATGAGTAAGATGGAGAGCAGGATTGCAGATGAACAAGGAGGCATTAGTAAAGGTAGGGGATGTGTAGACCAAAAGTTTACAGTGAAACATATAGGTAAACAGTACTTAGATAAGGGTAAAGAGGTTTATGTGGCACTTATAGATATAGAAACGGCATCTGATAGGGTGGATAGGTTGGCAATGTGGCAGGTGTTGCAAATGTATGGAATAGGAAGTTACAGAAAGCAGTGAAGAATTTTTTCAAGGATAGGGAGGCTCAGGTTAGAGTATGTAGGAGAGAGGGAGATTATTTCCCAGTAAAAGTAGGCCCTAGACAGGGATATGTTATGTCACCCTGGTTGTTTAATATATTTACAGATAGGTTGCTTGAGTGTTGGCAAGAGGCATGGGGTTAAAAGATAAACAATCTAACACAAAGTGGGAGTTGACACAGTTGCTCTTTGTTGATGACAATGTGCTTTTGGGAGATTCTGAAGAGAAGTTGCAGAGGCTGGTGGATAAGTTTGGTAGAGTATGTAAAGGAAGGAAAGAGTAAGGTGAGGAGGATAACACAAAATTTAGGTAATGAAAGACTGGATATCAGAACTGGAGGGAGGGAGTATGGAGGAAGTGAATGTATTCAGATATTTGTAAGTGGACTTGTCAGCAGATAGGTCTATGGAAGACGAGGTGACTCAGATCTAATGAAGGTAAAAAGGCGAGTGATGTACTGGCAAATCTGTGGAGACAAAAAATGTTACCCATGGAAGAAGGGAATGTATGAGAGTATAGTTATACCAATGCTTTTATATGGGTGTGAAGCATGGGTGGTGAATGTTGCAATAAGGAGAAGGCTGGAGGCAGTGGAGATGTTATGTCTGAGGGCAGTGTGAATATGATGCAGAGAATCCAACCATAGTTTGGAAATTAGGAGGAGGTGCAGGACTACTATCCCTGCACCTCCTCCTGAGTAGGGATGGGGGAGGGGTTGAGGTGTATCAGACAGAGAAGATTAAACATAATAGAATGACTTGGAGAGTATAAATCTATAGTGCAAGGGGTCAGCCTAGGAGAGGTTAGAGAGAGGGGGGGTAAAGGAGGTTTTATGTTAGAGGGGCGGGTAAAGGAGGTTTTATGTTAGAGGGGCGGGTAAAGGAGGTTTTATGTTAGAGGGGCTTGGACTTCCAGCAAGCATTCATGAGCATGTTAGATAGGATCGAGTGGAGCCACATGGTTTTTATGACTTGATGTGCCGTTGGAGTGTGAGCAGGGTAATGTTTGTGAAGGGATTCAGGGAAACTGGCAGGCTGAACTCAAGTCTTGGAGGTGTGAAGTACAGTGTGTGCATTCTGAAGGAGGGGTGTTGATGTTGCAATTTTATAACTGTAATGTAAGTGCACCTCTGGCAAGACAGTGATAGAGTGAATGATGATTAAAGTTTTTTTTCTTTTTCGGGTCACCCTGCCTTGGTGAGAAATGTCCAATGTGCTAAAAATAATAAAATAACTAATCACGTCACTCATCTAATACATGTCCAACTGGCCGGTCTAATACGTGTTCATGAATGCAATGACATTATTTACACAATTATTACAATAGCGCAGAAGTCTGAATAACAGTAAATCTTCTAATTTTTTTTTTTTGTGTGTGTGAATAAAAATTCAAAATGAAAAGCAAGTGTAATGTAGGAGAGACCTGGGGACCTAACTAATGAACAGAGGAAATGTTGCTTTAGTGCCAAGAATGTCTTATTTTATACCCTATTTTTAAATTAACATTATTTTAATTTTGTGTGACACTGACCTAATTACTGGTTTCTGATCACTTTATTCGGTAGTTGAGTAAGTTAAATGGACAGTTTCTTGTACTCGGTTGATAAAATGTAATGTATACTAGCAAAATAGCTTAAGAGTTTGATCAACTGGAACAAAGGAATTAGCCTAAAATAGGAATCAAGTGAGCAAAATCACCGGTGCGTAAATATGACCAGAACCACTAACTTTCTTTAGTTCCACAAGTTTTCCATCAAATTTTGTACTCTTGATCTCATCACCTTTGGAAAAAGATTCTCTATCACTTAATGTAGGGGAAGGGGTGGATTTTGAGAATGAGATTTTAAATCAGGGGTATGAACCCCTGAAAGCATTCAACTCACCTAGTATCAAAAGAAACTAGTGTACATAATGTTAAACATTAAAAACAATTAAAAAACAAGAAAACAATCATATCTTGGCATCAATAAATTGTAAAATGTAAATATTGCTGGAGCATTTACACTGCTGTTGCCAATGAGTGATCATTTTTTCTCTAACTTTAGCACACCATAAAATCATAAGTTTTTATCTATTTCCAATCATTTTAGTCTTATTCAATTCAGAAAAATTAACTCTTACATTCTATAATAAAAAAAAACATCAAAATCTTCCCTCACATAAAAATTTTTTTTTCTTAGTATTTCATAGTTTAAGGGTTAATGGTCCAAAGCAGACAAACATTTTGCAGAGACTGAAACACTATCATCAGTTTCAGCCTCCTAAGTACAGGTTATTTGTGTATGGACAGTGGTGTTTGTGCAACTCAGCAAAGGAAGGTAAAGAGTGAGTGAGAGTATCATCTTAGGGTAACTCTGCCTTAATCATAATTATCATTATAAATAAAACTAAGTCCTAAACCACCAGTCTTCATGATTAATGGCTGCCAAAATAATTTGTTTAATTATAAACTTACCATTAATATGAACTCCATAGTCAATCTTGCACACATCATCATATGAAAGCACCGTTGTGTCACCAGCATTAGGAGTGTAATGAGCTGCACAATGATTGATTGAGCATCCTGTAGGAAATGCCAAACCTGCCTCAAGACCATTCTCCTTGATCAATTTACGATTGGTGTCTTCAATCATGTTGCAAATTTCAATCATGGTCATCCCTGGCTTGACATTCTTTTGGAAATATTTGCGAGTCTGTTTACAGTGAAAAGACAAAATTAAAAATTTTGGATTAAATGAAAGCCCCATATAAAATTATAAACCACTCATGACAGTACCCTAAATCTGAATACTTGATCACAAGTTGGATGAAACACAACTAATATCATTCCTTTCCAAAACTCACAGGCAAACTAGATGACTATTGTGAATATTTTTTTGTACTAATACCACTTAATATGCAAATTATGCAGCAATGGTAAAGCCTGATAAATAATGCTCAAACAAAAAATACAAATACTGTACTCAAGGAAAAATGAAAACACAACAGTGCATTTGTTTACAAATTATGTTCTAGTTATGGCATCACTACTTCTTCATAGCTGTTGCTGTGGGCTGGTAAAATACTAAAAAACCTAACTGCAAGACAAGGTTCAGTGTTTAGGTGTGAGGTAGTAGTACCACACATACTTAAGTATAGGTCAAGGTTCAAAAACCATTTTTTTAGGAGGGGGAGGAGATAGCAAGTATGAGAACAACTTATTCAAGTGATATTGCTGAAGGGTTGAAATCTATAAACTAATCAGCCTAGGGGCCATTATAAGCCTTCAACCTAAAAAATGAGGTTTCCTGACTATCTCTTAATTTTTTTCAACATACTGGCCGTCTCCCACAGAGGCAGGGTGACCAAGAAATAAAGTAACACCTTCACCATCATTCACACAATCACTGTCTTTGCAGAGATGCAAAGATACAATAGTTCAGATGTTACTCTAAACAACAAATATCCCAAACCCCTCCTCTAAAGTGCAGGCACTGTACTTTCCACCTTCAGGACTCTAAAGTCCAGTTAACTGGTTTCCCCCAAATCCCTTCACAAAATATTACCCTGCTCACACTCCAACAGCTTGTCAAATTCCCAAAAACCATTCATCTCCTCATTTTATTTTTCATCAAACAAGCCATATCCCACCGAGGCACGGTGACTCAAAAAGAAAAACTAAAGTTTCTCTTTTTAAATTTAGTATTGTATACAGAAGGGATCTCGTTTCTTAATATTCTCATAAATTTTTCACACTATTTTTTCTTGTCATGCACTTATAAAATAGGGGGTATAACACACTGGCAAGTACACATCTTTTAACCCTTAAACTGTCCAAACATAGATCTACATTTGCACCCGTAGCACTCCAAATGTAGATCAACGTTTTATTTTTCATTCCTTCAAATTTGGCACAATAGGCTTGAGTTGCCTAGACATGAAAAAATGGGTCTGTGCACTCAGTGTGTGCAGTATAAAAAAATCTGGGAGCACTTAGTACCTTGTGGGAGCACCAGTTCAACTGAGCACCAGCTAGAGCAAATAGCGTAACAAACACCAGGGATTCAATGATGCCTTGTCACATTAACACTCCCAGGCCTACTGGCCTTGCATAGGTCAGCAGGCCTGCTGCAGTGTTCCTTCATCCTTATGTTCATATGTATTCAGCAGGCTGGCCGGATGGCTGACTTGCTTTGGCTGTATCTCTATCTATCTATATCTCTATCTATATCTCTATCTATATCTCTATCTATATCTCTATCTCTCTGTATCTCTATCTCTATCTATATCTATATCTCTATCTATATCTCCCTGTCTATATATCTATCTCTGTCTATCTCTATATCTATATCTCTATATATCTATCTCTGTCTCACATGCACACATAAGTACAGTTATTATACATAGTGTAAATTACCTAGGATAACCCAAAAATTCCAGGCAAAGATAGACAAACATGTTTGTATGTATCAGTGAAAACAAATAAAGCCAGGGTTCACCAAGTGCCTATTTATCAAATGTCACTGGACTGTTAACAGATGCCATAAAACCATTCTTCAAGGAGTCTGATATACTACTATACTCCAGGCAGACAGAAAGACAGATAAGCAGAGACAGACAGGCAAACAGATAGATAGGCAGACAGATAGACAGACATGTTTGTGTGTAACAGTAATAACAAATACAGCAAGGGTTAGCCAAATACATGAGTGAGTGTGGGTGGGTGTGAGCTGGACCTGACTAGCTTGTGCTACTAGGTCTGATGTCATGCTCCTGCCTTCAGTGGATGTGACCTAACTAGGTGGGTCATTGGTCTAAACCAGGGGGGTAGGACATTGCCCTGCCTTGCATGGGCCAGTAGGCCTGCTGCAGTGTTTCTTCTTTCTTATGTATTCAACAGACTGGCTTTGGCTGTCTATCTATATCTCAGTATCTCTCTCTCTCACTCACATGCACACATAAGTACAATTATACATAGTGTAAATTACCTAAGATAACCCAAAAATTCTAGGCAAAGATAGATACACACACAGACAGATAGATAGGCAGACAGATAGACAGACATGTTTGTGCATAACAGTGATAACAAATACAGCATGGGTTAGCTAAATTCACGAGCGAGTGTGGGTAGGTGTGAGTTGGACCTGACTAGCTTGTGCTACTAGGTCCAATGTCATATTCTTCCTTCAGTGGATGTGACCGCACTAAGTGGGTCATTGGTCTAAGTCGGGGGGGAGTGGGGGACATGAACCTGCCTTGCATGGGCCAGTAGGCCATCTGCAGTGTTCCTTCTTTCTTATGTATTCGGCAGGCAGGCTGGCTGGCTGGCTTTGGCTGTCTATCTATATCTCTGTATCTGTCTATATCTCTGTATCTGTCTCTCTCACATGCACACAAGTACAATTATACATAGTGTAAATTACCTAGGATAACCCAAAAAATCCAGGCAAAGATAGACAGATAGACACAGACAAGTAGACAGAGAGACAAGACATGGTGTGTAACAGTGATAACAAATACAATGAGGCTTAGCTGGAGCAGTGGGCATTTATCAAATGTCACTGGGGTGTCAACAGTATAGGGATGCCTTTCATAACATGCTTCAAGGTATATGTATCTAAAACATTGCTGGGACCTATAAATAGTTTGTATATATTTCTAGACAATAGTAAATAACCCAGGAAGGTGTAAATGTTCACCTGTCAATGTGATTGTGACTATTTGAGCACTATTTCAGTACCAAATATTAGTGTCAGAACAAAGATTGGCTATGAAATTACAAGAACTATTATAAATTGTAATTATCAGAACATAAAAAATATATAAATTAAAATAAAAACAAGAAAAAATGTACATCTGCAACACTTCTGCAAGCGGCAGAGTCGATTTTGCCATTAGGTGAGCATCCAGAGCCAACTTCATGGTCTTATATCTCGGTAAGTACTGACCCCAAAAATAGTTTTTTAATCCTATAGCATGTAGAAAAATGTGCTCTTCATTTTAAAAGAAAAATTTTTTTTTCTATTTTTCAAAATATTCGGAGCACTATGCGAGTGAATGTAGATCTATGTTTGAACAGTTTAACCTCTTCAGGCTTAACAGGTCCTCTCAGAGACTTGTTCTCAGGGTCACCCATATTTCAAAAAAAAAAAAAAAAAAAAAAAAAAAAAAAAAAAAAAAAATCTTACGAAAAGATAGAGAATCTTTTCCCGATCATAATGACACCAAAAGTATGAAATTTGATGGAAAACTTACGGAATTATGCTCTCGCGAAGTTAGCGGTCTCGACGATGTTTACGCATCGGCGATTTTGCCCACTTTGAGCCCTATTTTCGGCCAATTCCACTGTACTAGTTGACAAAAATCATGAATATTTTGCTAGAACTCCATTTTTTTTTCTATCGAATGAGTGCAAGAAACCACTCATTTACAGATTTCAACTATCCAATACAGTGGTCAGAATTTAGCAATTTTGCCAATTTCACACAAATTTCAAAAGATGCCAATTTCCAAATAGGGTCCAGAATAAACAAAGACATTCCTGGCACTAAAATAACATTTCCTCTGTTCATTAGTCACGTCCCAATGCCCCTCTTACATTCTTTTGCTTTCTGCTTTGAATTTTTATTCTCACAAAAAATAGAAGATTTACTGTTATATAGACTACTGCATTAGTGTAAAAAATGGAATAAATAATATCGGCACACTTGTGAAAGAATATTAGACTCACGAGTTGATGCGTATTGGATGCTTAGCATGATTTGTTTACTTTTGAACCTTGGTAAAAATCGAACATTTCTGCTACTTTGAGCTCAATTTCAAGGTACTTTTCATTGTAAAATCAGTCAATATCATCTCAATTTCTGTAATATGTCTTCCATTCTATAAAATGAGACCAGGAAAACTAGAATACAACAATAAATATCACATGAAAATACAGTCAAAGTTTTTTTCTTATTACGCACTGTGTGCTGCAGGATTTTTTTATACTGCACACACTGACCACATAGATCCATTCTTTCATATGTAGGCCTACCAGCTTTCTCTCACTAGATTTGAGGGCGCTAGAATTTAGGCGTACTAGTACGCCAAAAACTCTGGTGCGTAAGGATTATCATCCTACTCATCTGAAGTTAGAGCAAGGACTTCTATGGGGAATATGCTATTCTCTCAACATTTTTTGCTTAACCCCTTGACTGTTGCAACCCCAAATCCTGAGGTGTCTCCTGGTGTCGCAAAAATAATAAAAAAATATTATATTTTTCTTATGAAATGATAGAGAATCTTTTCCCGATTTTAATGACACCAAAAGAACGAAATTTGATGGAAAACTGACGGAATTACGTTCTCACGAAGTTAGCAACCTCGGCGATATTTACGAATCGGCGATTTTGCCCACTTTGAACCCTGTTTTCGGCTAATTCCGTTGTTCCAGTCGACCAAACTCATAGCTATTTCTTTAGAACTCTGTTTTTTCTATCAACCGAGTACAAGAAACTGCCCATTTACTGATTTCAACTACCCAGTAACATGGTCATAATTTTGCAATTTGGCCAATTTCACAAAAATTTAAAAATATGACAATTTCAAAATAGGGTCCAGAATGAGCAATGCAGACATTCCTGGCTCTAAAATAATACATGTATTTTCTTTATTCATCAGTCACGTCACCAGGTCCCTCTGATATTACTCTTGCTTTCTATTTTGAATTTTT